ATTGACAAGTGTGATCACTCTAAAAAATTAAAATTTTGGCAAGAGGCAGGGTACATCCTGGACAGGTCACCAGTCTGTCGCAGGGCTACCACAAAACCAAATGGTTGTCTGTATCTATGGGCAATTAAGAATCACCCCACTAACTGCATGTCTTTGGGCTGTGGGAGGAATCCAAAGGGAACACACGCAAACACGGGGAGAACATGCAAACTCCACACAGACACCTCCCTGGTCTGATATTGGAATTTATCTCAGGACAGAATGCTAACCACTGTCACTGTGCGAGCCCACAAATTATCAATGGGACAATATCTGTTTAATAGTTTAAAAAAAAGTTTAAAAGAAAAAAAAAAAGTTGAGAAGTAAGTTGCTTTATGGTAGGAAACATTTTATGAGTTTTAACCCCCTTGGAAGATCCTTAAAAATCCTAACACATTTTACCCTAATGACAAAAAAACTTCACCCCTCCAAAAAAATACTGTAAAAATATTACATAGGAATATTTCTTCCACTTTAATGACTATTATAAAACTACTTCAGTCTGAAATATACATTTCAAATATTAATTATATTTAATTATATATTCTGGATTTTAACCCTTTAAAGGAGAGGGAGTCTGGCTCAAGTGGGGCAGAGGCTGCAAGTGGACAGACTGTTGCATGTGCAGCAGGTTACAATGATTCAGTAAAGCAGCATCTTAAATGCTGGTACGGTTTGCCCACTCAGGTTTTTCCTCACTTTGAATGGGCCGTTTGTGGGTTATTACCAACATAGGCACTGTTTGTCTGCATATAAAGGGACATATAAGCTTCTATGTTATCTTTCTGTTAACAGATCCATTAATATTGATCTCAGGTTGAGTCAAATGAAACAAATGGCTATGAAAGCAAGCTTAAAAAAAACAAATACACACGGGGGGATTTCTATAAATATACCATCAAAAATGCCTCCAATAGCAATTTTGGGCATCTCTGTTTTGCAGGACCTGGATGTGGAAGGGGACGGTATGCAGGGTCCTCCGTCCCCTCTGCAGTTTGACACAGCCCTGGCCCTGGAGGACCAAACCATCAGAGCCATAGCTGAGGCCCCGATGGACATCCTGACTGGCGAGGACCCAGACCAGGACCTTGACACCTCAGGGCAGGAACTCTCAGAGAGAGATGTGGACGCCATCATGAACAACCAGGTTAACTCTCAATCAGGGGTTTTGTCGTCGTGAATATCTTATTGTGGCAGGTAACATTGATGCACTCAATTCAAACTGTACTGTGTTGAAAACATTTTCAGGTTGATCACAGGAAAAAAGAATGAAACTCAAAGGTTAGGGTTGATTTTAGTTTATTAATGAATTTATTTATTTATTTGTTCTCTATCTCAGACGTACCTTTAGGAGCTTTTATCGAGGATGCAGTCTCCTTTATGAAATTAACCTGTTTTATGTCCATCGTCTTCATATGAGTGAACAGTGTTGAAGAAAAACAGTTTGTGCTAAGATTTTTATTAATTGACATGATTTGACTTAATTTATGAACACCTTTGAACAAATACAAAGGATACAAATAACAAATAATCATGATTACAGGTGTATTCTTTGGCATGTGTTGTGTCATAGCTGTATTCTCTTCGAGAGAGAGAGAGAGAGAGAGAGAGAAATTCATGAATCTTAAAAATATTAAAATATATCCATAAAATCTTGCCTCAGTTAAGAAAAAAGGGGGGCATTCACCACAAAAAATAAACTTTGTATAAACAAACGTGCAATAAACAGGCGTATTTGTGACTGCCCCCAAGTGGCTATAGACTGCTACAACATGTACATGTTAGTCTGCAAAGACCTTTAGACCTCTGCTGGTCACATTCAGTCTGTGAAGCTGTGGTTCACAAAGTGGCCCGCAGACCATAACATTTACTTTACATAGTAGGATGCAGCAGTCCAGGACAACATCAATAGCAAATTTTCCAGTTTCAGTATTACCCTCTAACATTTCCTGAGAGCAAATGTATTTAAGAATTATAGCTGCCATCTCACTAAAGAATAAACTATATAGAGGCAAAACAATTACAGTCCTTGGAACAGACTCATTACAGGCTTTACCTGCAGCTGGGTTTCTCCTGCTACAAAAAAGGCCTTTGTGCAGTCACTACAAGCCTAAGCTCAACTTATCTGCATACGGTGGAGGCAATGAGATTTGTGCATTTTCCATCAACACAAATGCACTTTCAGCTGGACTAAATTAAATCCTCTTAACTAAAACCTTTTTTCAAATACTTAAATTTTAAAACACAAAATTACAGACCTTACCTCGTGTCAGACTGCCTACTCAGTCTGTCATAGACATGTTTGAAAATAAGAGCAGCATTTATAATATTTCCATATGCATCAGGTTAGGAATGTAACAGCCTCTCTGCAGGTTGTCCTGTGCTGCCAGGGAATTTGATGTTGTAATTCTTCTCTGCCCCTCAGTCTGTCACTCTAGATTTTGCACTCTGTCATCAAAACTTTGAAAGCTGTGGTGTAAAGAAAATATGAAGTGAGATGTTCAGTGGGGTTAAGAGAATCACTGAACCCTTTGAAAAGAAGCTTTTGTACCGTGCTGCCGGCCCTTTACACAAACAGATGATCTGAACTAGCAGTAAATGTGCTTTATCTTTGTTCTTCCACTCAGGTGGTGTCAGAGGCAGTCGGAGGCGAGGAAGACACGACTGACAATTCGCTCCAAGACCTCGACTCTGCTGCAGCCGACGCTCCCAGATGAACCAGCATTTCAAAGAACTGTCACTGCTACTCGTTTATAATACAGCCCACATTAGGTACTAAAGTACTCAGAGGCTCCTACTGAGGCTGAAAGCTGGAGTAGGCGACATGTTTTTGGAATCAATGGGCAGAAATTCCATAATAACCTTTCAGCATATTGTACTTCATGTGGGGAACTAGACTCCTGGTTTCATACTAAAGAAACTCCAGCCTGAGATGAGACGTCGCCCAGTGTGAGGCCGTTTCAGGTGAGTCGTGAAGGTGCAGGGAAAGGTCAGCTGAGAGGGAAGCGTTTGGATCAGAAATGTCAGCTGGACATGTTAGAGGAATGCAGGGAGAAAACTGAAGTTTTGGGTAAAATGTTACACTGTGCAGTTTCAGTTATAAACATCATTGTAATGTGCCTCACTTTTTCTGCTCCTACTGCCTGGTTTGAAATAAAGATGAGGAAAGAAATGGGCTTTTAGGTAACTTTGTTTCTGATCGGCATGTTTTCCACCACTGCAGCAGAAAACACATTTCCATAAAACTTTAAAGCAACTGGAAACTTTCTCCCATTATTACACTTTAACACATTCTGTTGTTGCATATGCCCTTGTAGCCAGTATTTACGAAAATACTTGATGTAATTTTTATTGTCTGCTTAAGGTGGTTTTGTGTTTCAGTTTGTTTGAGCGACCAGTCGTCTCATTTTATGCGGGACAGCAAACCTTTTCATCACCCACATTTTCATTGGTTGTAGTTACAAATAAATACAGAGTACAGGACATGTGTGCTGATCTTCAAATGCTTCACTGCTTAAATTTAAAGTTGATTCCTGCAGAAAAGCAGTTTATAGCTTCAGCTGTTACTGCGGGAGAAAAGGGAACCTTAAATGAATAAAGACAATATATGGTTATAAAAGTTGTTTTATGCCTATGATCAACAACAAACCTTTAACAGATGTAGTTTGTGCTTTCACACATTGTTAAGAAACCTTCATCTGGCTTCGGATAACAGGAACCATTGGAAGGATTCTGTAATTTACTCCCTCTGTGAGTACTAAAGATTTGGTGCAGTTTAGTGCATGTTTGTCAAGTGCACATGAGGAAAATCTGGAGCTGAAGTCATTTCACACCCATGTTTGTTTATTCTCCAGCTGTTCTTTTCTTCTGCACCCACATTCAAACACCAGTAAATGCAGGCTGTATTGTAAAGTGTTTGAGCATGTTTCAGTTCCACATAGACGAGTCCAGATTTGCACTTAAGCCTGAGGTCACCTTCAGAAAAATAGCTGTTTAAGGCCTCTAGTCCAGTTTTCGCTCCATACACTCACCCTACCGCTTTTTGTCATGCGGTTGTATTATTTCTAGTTGTTTGGGTTAAATTGCTTTGAAGCCTGAGTGCTGTATCAGGTTTTCAGCTGTTTGTGTGTTAACTTTAAAAATGTCACTCTTTCAAACACAAATTATTTTCTGATGGATTTCTTGGTCGTGTCCATATCGGTGGTGCCTGCAGGAGTATTTTAAGGCACGGCAAACCACACATACGGGGCCGATTTTTTTTAAGTATATAGCGAAGTTATGTTTGGCAACGTGGGACAGCCTCCGAGAGAAGGGAAAAAAAGTGGGGCGGGTAATGAAATTTCATACAATGACATCACTTTTCCTCCAACCCAAACACTTAAACGGCGAGGCAGAGGAGGAGAGCGGCCGCTGCTGGGGGAGCAGGACACCGCCGCAAAAATGAGCCCAAGGTAGAGATTTTAAAGAAAAGAAGAAAAAAATAGTATATTTTTTATCTTTACCGGACATGGCAACACAGCGGCAGTTTCCATCCAAATGAGGTGAGTTTTTAAAAAACAGAAAAACGCCGTTTCATGTGCTGAAATGCTCGGTTGGCCGATGGGTTCGCAGGAATACCGACACTGATCCGTTTGCATGCGCTTCATTGTTTTAACATCACCGGGAATGTAAAGGTTGCGCCGATTCACAGCTGAAAATGTTGCTTTGCTGCTGCGGGCTGCTTCAGCCTTAAACGTTGCGGCGTTTTTCCTGCGTTTTCTTCGTTTGTGGGAGAAACGCAAGGGCGTAACAGCGCGCTTACCCGTGGCGGAGGGGACACATTTCGGCGCAGGGTTTGGGTTTGAAGGGCCTGTCCCCAAGAAAAGGGGCCAAAAAAGAAGGAAAAACCTGGAGGCTTTCCCAAGCTCAGATCTGATTTGGTTCAGCTGCGTTACGCGAGAGCTGAAATACATCCTGTCGCCGTTTGAGCCTCGAAAACCTGAAAAGGGAACATGGAAAAGGAACTGTCATCCGAGTCCTGTAAGTGCGGCTCGTTTTTCATTTGTCATCTCGCAGCGATGCAGAGAAAAGGCAGTTTATGATGGGAATAAGCTGCGCTTCATTAGTGTGGGCTTTGTCAGAGATTCAGGCTGTGAGTGGAGGCTGACGCTGCACAAACCAGAGGGTTTAAATCGAGAATAAATCAGCCTCACAGTGATGTTCGTGAATGAATTAATGTGTCTGCAGCATGGATGCGAGGAGGGATGAGCCACCCTTTTTATATCATGTGAAGTTCAGATCATTTTTAAGGAGGAGAGCTGTTGGTTTGATTATTTTACCAGCCTAATTGAGCTCCAGTTCCTCTAAAAATGTGACTTTCACCGTGCAGACTAGAGGAATTTAACTTCAGCTTGTCTGCGCTGACCTCCAGTCTGAATTGATATGTGTGCATGTATGAATATGATGAGTTTGAGTCCCGCTTAACTACAGGATGCGCAATGCCAAGCAGTCAGTCTTTAATAGGGAGATATCTTTGTGTTCCACAGGTCATTTTATCATTTTTAAACACTTACCCAAAGTTCAGGACTCGCTGTGTCTAATTAAAAATAATTAAATCATTTCTTTTACACCAGGGGAAAAATACAATGCCCACATTTCAGTGATTGTAATCAGTCAACTAATCCTCGCAGATCTGCTTGTTTAGGAGAAGTCTGAAAATGTTTTGAGGAATTAAAAGTGATCATTTTCGGAATAAGTGCATTTAAAACAGGTTAAACATTGCAATAGTTGGTAGTTGTGCTGATAAAATGAAAATGCAACCAATCTGGTCATACACTGCAGATATGAAAAGTCACACAGGGGTGGATAACCTTTCTCTAATTAACACATGAAACAAACAGAAATGCCATATTTTCATCAGATCTTCTGACGTTTGATGTTTGCCTGCTGCTTTCTCAATTAAACATGACATTCACAAAAGTCGAACCTTCATGAATCTGCATTTGATTTTGCAGATTTGGTGAAAACTTTGATAATTTTGTAGGACGGCTGGTCAGGCCTTGTTAGGCTATAGATAACAAGAACGGTGATGTTTTTTGTCTTTGTTTCTTTGTCTGTTTACAACTTTTAAAAAGAAAAATAATCTAGTCATCTGGAAAATATCATTGCCCTTGTTGGCTTTCATAATCCAACTGTCAACAAACTGATTTTCATCAACATGGCATTAAACCAGTGCAGGGTTTATTTTCATTACAACAGTTTCATTTAGAAAATATTAGAAAATGACGTATAACTGGCAACAGCAGCTGTCACTGTCACTCAAGGCTCATTTATAAACTCAGACTATATGTTAAAGCTGGACATAGCTTCCGTGTAATCTATACTACAGTTACAGTAGGGATAACAGTGGTTCGAGACCGCGGCACGATCTTGCTGCCTTTGAAATGGTTGCTCCAAAGATGGGGACCGGGTCAGTGGCCCCTCGCATTCAGTCGCCATCTTAAATAAAGCTCATTTTTTGAATAGAATGGGGACAAGTTTCAGTTGCATGCAGTCTTTTAGTGACAGTACAGCAATTAACTGTGCAAAGCAAAGCAGCAAAAATCACAAGTGTCTCAATCTGTCGAAATGTCGTCTACAAAGCTTCCAGGTGGCCTCTGTGCAACCAGCTGGTCAGTACAACTTCCTCCCTCTTCACAAGGTTGTTGCCGCTCTAACGGCAACTTGTGGAGTGCCAATGACTGCACTTCCTGAAATCACAATTTGAAGCTTCCTCTCAAAAATGCTCTCATGTTAAAACCTTATAGAAGAAATAAAGTTGGTCTCTATGGACAGTTTTTCGCACTCCGTAGCAACACCATGGGCTGAACTGTTTTATGACTTACCTGTATGGATACTGGAGTCTGGGGCGTGGCTCCTTGGAGATGACTGGTGTCTGCTAGGTTTGTGCTCGCATACATTGGAGCTCACTGTGATGCAAAGCATCCAATAAGTTTGTGATTCGATTTAGGTGAGTGAAATTCTGGTATTTTATTAGTAGTTGGCAGATATGTGAATGCAGCTAATATTATATCAGTGGATGATGCCGCAGTGGGACACCTGGACTTTATCGGATGTATCGGTGAAGCTTCGAGTTTTTGGCTGTCACCGTTTTAGCTTTATGGAACTAGACGTGATGCATACATTGGGGCTACTTTTAGTGCTCTTTTTGGCTATAATGGGAACCATAATTTATAATATGAACATCATGTTGTTCTTTAAGACTGGAATCTAGCGACTAAGACCAGAAAAGTCTTTACTATTGAGATTCGTGGAAACCAAACAGACATGCAGTGATTTCTTGATTTATTTTTGGGATTCTTATTAAGATTTCCTAAAGCCTGATGTGATGTCGTTGAATTTTTTCAATCACAAAAGACAAAGTAAAGTACAAACTGGAGAATTTTGGACCTTTTCTCTGCTGGCTATTAAAATATGTTTTCATATTGTTTTTCTCCTGTTTAAGTTCCGATAGTTCAACTCGTCAGTGAAAGCAACAGATTGCATGCATCCATGTCACCCAGCACAACAACAGCTTATCACCATCTGCTGGTTCATGTTAACAAAGCTGCGTTTTACTAACTGTGATACCTTCCACATTTTCTGAATGGGGTGGATTGTTTCTTGTTTGTTTTCACCTTGTGGGGAATTTTATAGGTTATAAAACATGTGCCAGCAATCTTAACAAGTTGTAGGGCCGTTGTGCGATTACACGAGAGTTAAAACATCTTAGAAATTGCTGCGCAGCTATTAAAGAGTCCTCGTTGTTGGAGGAAAAACATCAGTTTTAATGATCTGTGCCTGTTGGTTCGAGGCCAGATGTACGCTCATGCTGTTTCCTTTGTCTCATCGTTTTCTGAAGAAGGACCAAGCTTTAGGTCAGAAGAAATGAGGACGCAAGCATTGTTTGAACCGTGCTGAATTATAGGCTTGCGGAGATGGCTGGAATTCAGGCTGTAAAATATTAAAGTTTCACTGAAGATCTGCAATGAAACGCTCGATGAATCTTTTAGTGTTTGCAGGCTGCTTTTACCTGATTTTTGCTTTGAGAAGAAATGACGTACGCTCTGTTCCTCGTCCAGATTGTCTGCTTTTGTAATGATGTAGTTTGTTGTTCTTGGCAGTTGCAGACAAACACCATATATCATGTAAGAAATCCGCTCTGACCGCATGGCACAAAGGACCTAGAAACCATTACATCATATTTTAAACACAGTGACTGATTAGTTCCCAGAAAAATTGTTTGAGACAAGGATTTGAGGTCACTCAGTTAAACCTTTTGATACTTTAAAGATGTATTTCTAAGAGCTCTTTGTGAACCTTAGAACATCTGCGGTGCGGTGCTGGGAAATCTTTCATTAATTGAAAGGTTACTTTGACTTGTGCATAAACTGTATGTTGCCACGGTGACGTCAACCATTGCTTAGTGAAGCTCCATCTTGAAACCTTGACTTGAGCATTTTGACTGTCACCGTATCGAAAGTGACAAGCAAAGGGTGGAGTGGGACTCCGCGTGCTTATAAGTATTATCATGTCATAACATATAACATCACATTCGAGTCCTTTCTGACTCTAATGGGGAACAGACTTCATGAAATCCATCAGGAAAGTGTTTACTGAGGGCAGCAGAAGGGCTCATTTTCTCATAGACATGTTTTTACAAGCAGAACAGTGGCCCCCTGCAGGTCATCACGAGGAAT